AGCTTCGAAGCCAAGATTTCTTTTTACTCATCCTTCTTACATGTCCGCAGACTTCATCCGATTCGTCAGCAAGCGGCCTTGGCTAACACCCTTGAGACTTTCAATTTAGATGTATGTTGTGTCTCCAAAACACGCATACAATACCCCGCTTCCATTATCTCCTTGCGTTCACCTAATCCAACCTCAATCTCACGCTTCACAATTCGTGTGTCGGGCGATTCGGCATCCGATGCTCGCGGTGTTGCTGGTGTTGGGATTACGCTGAGTGCTTCGCTTCTTGACTGGATTCCAGTCAGTAGCCGACTATGTGCTGTACGTCTCAACGGCTCAGCATGGGTCAACAGTTACAGAGCGAAGCGCTGGTGCTTATTCGTCGTATCGATGTATGCACCGACCGATTGCAGTGCACCTGAAATATAGGATGAATTCTAAAAGGATCTCTCCCAACAGCTCCAAAGTGCTCGATCAACGAACCTTGTAGTAGTCGCCGGAGATTTCCATGCTCAAGTGGGATCCCCAGACGAATCAGAAAGGTTTCTTGGCGGACCGCATGCAATCCCAGCCAACCGGACGGACAACGGAAATCGCCTACTTTAACTTTGCACGGACCACGGAATGTTTCTGTCAAAAACGAACTTCTCGCACAAGAAACGACACCGCCTTACATGGAAACCAAAAATCCCTTCACTGCGCTGGACCCAGATCGACTACGTCACCATCAGTTACCGCTGGAGGGGATCAATTCAAGACTGTCGCTCTTTCTGGTTCACGCCTGTGGATACAGAGCACGCCTTATTACTAATCAAGTTCAGCTTACGCCTGGCAAACGACTGCAAGTAAGCCACCGATAACGCATACCCACGATACAACGTCAGCGATTGCTGCAAATCGGCCTTCGAAGAGAAACTCTACGATCGCCTATCAGCTCAATCACCAGTCGAAGGACTCGATGAACACTGGACAACAATCAAGGAAGCGATCCAAACGTCGATCAAAACAACGGCATATTCTGCGCACGATCAAATAATACACGAAGGATCTCCCAGACCTCGGTTGCCCTGCTGGATGCTTCGGATTCAAAACACGACAAAGCGCGCAGATCCCTCAAACGCCATTTCATCAGGAGTCTGAGGAATGACCGCGAGAAGCGGTGGACAGTAAAGTGTAGAGAGATGGAGAAGACTGCGACTATCGGTGATGGTCGCAATCTTTTTCGTTTAATTAAGAGTACAGGACCAAGGAAAGTAGGCGTAAGTGAGGGAATTAGGGAATCCGATGGCACACTGATTCACGATCAGCAACGCCGTTTAGATCGATGGGCAGAACATTTTAAGATGCAGTTCAGCTGGCCGTTTTCAGCGAAGACCTCGCTATTCAACTGTGAGAATACTGACAGTTGACATCTGTCATTAATCTGAAATGAAGATTACCGGGGAACGTTATAAGGCTTTCGGGCCAGACGGGCTGTCCTCATCGGCTTTTAAGGATGGATCCTCAACCTTAGCGTCCGAATCAACAAAACACCTGGGCTTAGTATGGGAGAGAGAAAACGTTCTAGCTGAAGGGTGTGAATCGGTCATCATACCGATTCATAAGTTAGATGACAGGTCTTCGTGTGAAAACCATAGAGGATTAGTTCAATCAACATCGTCTCTAAAATTCTCGCCGGTGTCATACTCCATCGATTGTCAGCCAGACGTGAACAGTGTATGCGTGAGAACCAGGTTGGCTTTGGACCTGGTTGAGGTTGTACGAACCACATCTTCACTCTCCGCCAAACTCTGGAGCACTGGCATTCCTTTCGTAGACCCACCATCTGTCTTTCTGGATCTGAAAGCGGCCATCGACTCACTCGACCGCTCTAAACACCGGCGCTGCCTTTCCCTGAAAAGTGTGCCCGGGAAGTATATTTCAATATTACAATCCCTCTACAATAATAGCCGAAGTCGAGTACGAGCTCACAGTACGTTTTCGCCCGAGTTCAC